CACCAGCACCAGTGTTTGTGGCTGGCGCCTTAGTACAAGCACCGAGCCTATGGTATGATTTTTAAAAACTTGATCATGTTTCTGGTATAGGAACCAGACACATGCCTGGTCTTCATGGAAGTAGGGGCTATAGGAAGACTTCCATGCAATGGAACCATCAGAGGGAATCCAGTGAAGTAGGACACAGATGACAATCAGTTTGGTCCTAGAGGCCTTTAGATTTTTTGCCTGCATAATTTTGTGCTTCTGATGTAACCAGCCTGATCCTTAAATTCCGTTTTCTGAGGGTGTCTGTGTGCTGCGACTACTTACCTTGATTTTTCTGACACTTCCTCAGTCTTCCTCTGCAAGGATTTCCCTCTATCCTGTGATATGCTGGAGTAGCCCCTTCCCTAGGAGACATGTGTCTCAGATGAGTGACATGTGTTGGTGCTATGGACTGAACAATTGTGTCCCCTCACAGCCCCCAAATTCATATGTTGAAGCCTTGACTCCCAGTCTGATGGTTTCAGAGGGGCACTTTGGGGAGATAGGTTTAGATGAAGCCATGAGAGTGGGATGCCTTTATTAGTAGGGAAAACATTCCAGAATTCTCTTTTTGTCTTGTGAAGACACAGCGACAAGGAAGAGAAAGTCTCTGTAACAGTGCTGTCACTAGGAAGCAAACCTGCCAGCACTTTGATCTTGGACTTCAGCTCCAGAACTCTGAGAAGTAAATATCTGCAGCTTACCCTACTCAATCTGTGGTGTCTTGTTAGAGCAGCTTGAAGTGTGTTTTTCTTTGATAGAATCTTACCTCGAGACATTTGAAGGAAAGGGTTAGCAGCAGGTATGAGATGACCTTGCCCCGTACTGTGTTCAAAGTTCAAGAAGTGACAGAGGCCAGAACTACCACTAAAGTCCAGTGGATAAACCACAGAAAGGAGTGTGTGTGTAGCTCTAAAGGTGTGATTCCACACTTAAATTCATCTTTATTTTTCTGGATCAAAAAATTATAGTTTATTGGATTAGACTTTAAAAATTTGAAACTGAAAAAAATCATCTCTTATTCTCTGGAATTCCTGTAAAGGTAAGTAATGCCTTGCTGCCTCCTACAATTAAGTTGTTTCTGAAGGCAGAAAAAA